GGGGGGGGGGGGGGGGGGGTAGTAAACAAAGGGGGGAGGAGTTCGAGAACTGGTCTTCCTTGGTGCCGTTGCTATCAGCTTTACAAGAAATTGAAAACACGGCCCACATGGTGAGGTAGGAAGGTGGAAATCGCCCGCTCTCTGGAAGGGAAACGCCGGGAGAACAAATGCGACAAGAGACGACAAAAGTTAACGCCATCAGGTCAGTTGCTATCCGCTTCCTGGTTGACGCGACAACCCACACATAACGAACAGCAGCAGCAGCAGCAGCAGCAGCAGCAGCAGCAGCAGCAGCAGCAGTGGTAGTAGCACGGCAGCAACAGCAGAACGATCCGCGGACGTTTTGCGAAGAAAACAAAATCTTCGAATATCAACAAATTCCTTCATATTTCGTTGAGGTCACCTCTCAGTGGCAGCAGTCCCTGAAATAAACGTTTGTGAAAAAGGTGAGCCAAATTCCTTCTAGGTTCTGCTGTTGCTGCCGTGCTACTACCACTGCTGTTGCTGCTGCTGCTGCTGTTCGTTATGTGCGGGTTGTCGCGTCAGCCAGGAAGCGGATAGCAACTGACCTGATGGCGTTAACTTTTGAATTAATCAGAATCTGCAGAGGTCAACTCCCACTACATAGCAGCGGATTGATTGTCCCCAGACATTTTGTGAAAAAAAATGAAACGAATCCCTTTTTGAAGATGGAGGGCGTAGTGAATGACGATCTGCTGAGATCACCTCTAAGCAGCAGCAGATAGCATCACGGACATTGTGAAAACCAACACCAACCCGCTCGTAGAGATAGAGAGCAAACACGTGAACAACGTTCACTTCACTCAGTGCATCTCCCACCAGCAGAACGTTGTGTGAAACGAAAAGTATAATCTCGTTTGCAAAATGTGCGACGGAATGAATGAAATCTGTTGAGGGTAAGCCTCAACAACAGGAGCAGAAATATCTGCGGGCGTCTAATGCAACAAAATTGAGACCAATCCCTTTAGGTAGTAATAGGTGGAATCAATCAACACTTGCAGAGTGCACATCAAAGGGGCAGCAGAAGCAGCAGAAGCAGCAGAAGCAGCAGCAGCAGCAAAAAACGCGAACGATTGTGAAAAACAAAATCAAGAATATCCATTGCTCAATCAAATATCCTTGTAGAGCGCTTCTTCAGAAGCAGATGCAAAGATGCGTGGGCGTTTAGTGCCAAAACAACAAACACCCCTTCTTCCTTGGAGTTAAGGCACTAGGCGGAGAGAAACAAAAACAAAGCTGCTGCTGCGGCATCATGATGACGTCAGTCAGCGATACTATTATTATGACGTCAGTCAGCGACCTCTGTTGACGTCATTCATTCAGCCACCTCTCGCCGTCCTTCTTGGCCTCGGCCTCGCCCCTCTCCGCGGCTGCCGCCTTCTCGCGATCCCGCCGCGCACCCGCCACCAGCTCCGCCTTGCTCGCCTCCGACCCAGACAGGGCCGCCTTCAGCAGCAGCGACAGCAGCAGCAGCGGCATCACCACGAGGATGGTAAAGCAAAAAAAAAAAAAGGGCGCGGGGGCGGGAAAGTGCCGCCGGCGGGGGGGGGGGGGGGGGGGGGGGGGG